GTACCGCATGTGAGCACTGCCACTGAAGCATTGGGTGGAGCTACCTATGGGGCCAAGGAACGTGCGAGGGGTGTGCCGAACTGGGCGGGGTGGCGCATGTGAGCACTGCCTCTAGGGCCTTCGGTGGAGCTCTCCGTGAGGCCACGACGCGTGTAAGGGGTGTGCCAGAATGGGCGGGGGGGACGCATGTGAGCACTGCCACTGGAGCCATCGGGCGAACTCCCGATGGGGCCACGAAAAGTGTGAGAGGCGTGCCGTAATTGCTGGGGCGACGGTGATGTTGAAGGCGATGATGGTGGCGGTAACGAAGCTGATGATGATGATGATGATGATGATGATGATGATGATGATGATGATGATGATGATGATGATGATGATGATGATGCTGACGACGGTGACGACGACGACGACGACAACGACGACGACGACTACGACGACGACGACGACAAGGAGGAGGAGGAGGAGGAGGAGGAGGAGGGAGAGGAGGACGATGGTGACGGTGCTGATGATTGCGATGATGATGGCGGCGATAGTGATGGTGATGGTAATGATGGTGGTGATGATGAGGGTGAAGATAATGGTAATGATGATGAGTGTGATGATGATGGTGTGTTGGATGGTGTGTTTGATGGTGATGGTGATTGTGATGGTGATGATGATGACGATGATCATGACGATGACGATGGCGAAGGCGATGGCTATGAAGCTGGCGATGGTGATGATGGTGGTGATGGTGATGATGATGGTCTTGATGGTGATGGTGATGATGAGGGTGGTGGTGCAGGGCGTAAAGATGGTGATGGTGAGGGTGAGTACGATAATGCTGATGACGCTGATGATGATGTTGGTGATGGACGGTGATTATGACGTTGATGGTGATGGTGATGGTGATGATGGTGGTGATGGTGGTCATGTAATGATGATGATGATGATGATGATGATGATGATGATGATGATGATGATGATGATGATGGCGGTGGTGATGGCGGTGATGATGGTGATGAGAATGGTTATGATTATGGTGGTGATGCCGTGATGTGGTGATGACGATGTTGGTGGTGGTGATGATGATGATGCTGATGACGATGACGATGATGATGATAATGATGATGATGATGATGATGATGATGATGATGATGATGATGATGATGATGATGACGATGACGGTGGTGATGATGGCGGTGGTGGTGGTAATGATAGCGAGAAGAGGAAGGCGACGACGACGACGATGATGATGATGATGATGGTGATGAGGATGATGACGACGATGATGATGAAGATATGATGATGGTGGTGAAGATGATGACGACGACAATGATGATGATGATAATGATGGTGATGATGATAATGACGACGACGACGAGGATGATGGTGCTGGTACTGATGCTGATGATGATGCTAATGCTGGATGATGATGATGATGATGGTGATCATGGCGGTTGTGGCGGTGCTGGTGGTTACGATGATGACAATGAAGATGATGATAATGCTGATACGGATGATGATGATGATGATGATGATGGTGATGATGGTGATAGTACTGATGATGATGATGATGATGATGATGATGATGATGATGATGATGATGATGATGATGATGATGATGATAATGATGATGATGATGATGATGATGATGATGATGATGGTGGTGGTGGTGGTGGTGGTGATGATGAGGGTTTGTGATGACGATAGTGATGATGATGAGGATAGAGGATAATGAGGGGAGGAGGAGAATGATGAGGAGGAGGAGGAGGGAGTGAGTGAGTGAGGTGACGCGGGGCACTCTCTTCGAAACGAAGACTCAAGACCACAGGTTGGTTGGGAAAAACCTGCAATCACAGAAACTTTCGGAGGTCCGCGCAGATTCGTTGGATCGACGCTCGACCTGGCGGAGCCAGAGGCGCCGCCACGGGTGTCCAGCGCCGGTGCAAAAAAGCACCGCGGACCTCCGAAAGCTTATGTTTCTGCAGACTGCTCTTCTTCGAGATGAGGAGGCCCTCTCCTCCGACGTTGCAATTGTCATTCGGAGGCCCTCTCCTCCGCCTTCGCATTTGCGTCGTGGCGTCGGCCTCCGGGGCTCTCGGCCTCCGGAGACCATGGCCTCCAGATGCCGAACGCGACGAAAAACTAGCCGACACGATGTTTTGACAAACGCCTTTGTTGTCATCATCACGACCACAATGACAACAGCGCGAGGAATCAACACAGCAACAACGCCATCGAAACGGAGCGAGTCGAGAAGCGATCCCGCCGCCAGACCATTCTCGCCCGCTCCTCCCAGGCGAGAGACGAAGATGCTGACGAGGAGGGAGGCGGGGCGGAGAGGGGCTACTTACGCAGGACGAAAGATTTTCCTCTTGAGGTATCTCACACGCGTCTGCTTAAAACTTCAAATATTCGCTCCGGGCCCAAGAGGACAAAACTTTCGTCCTGGGGCGAGGAGCGATACTGCCACGGCCTTACGGCCGGCGCCGCCGACCCTGCAGGCGGGACCTCCCCCGGGACCCCCGCTGGCGACGGCCCCCCCGCGAACCCCTGGGACCCCGGGGGGGGGGGCAGCATTCTGACCCGGGACACCCTCCCCACCCGACCCCCAGCCCCTTGCCCACCCACCCACCAATCCTCCCCCAACCCCAGGCAGGACAGGGATCGAAGGCAAGGCGCTCCCCTTCGACTGAACTACGACGTTCCTCACTTCCCTTGTCCCCCAATTTCCGTAGGGCTCCCCTTCGACTTCACTACGACGTTCCTCAATTCCCTTGTCCCTCAATCTCCTTAGGGCTGACGACGACGACGACGACGACCACCACCACGACAACGACGACGACGACGACCACGACGACGACCACGACCACGACCACGACCACGACGACGACAACCACGACGGCGACCACGACGACGGCCACGACCACGACGACGACAACCCAAATCCGAACAGGGAGGCGCCGCCTGCTCCGCGTCGTCCTCCTCCACCACGGCCGCCAGCGCCTGCCGGAGGACCAGCCCCGCGCGCAGCACGTCGCACTGGGCGCGCTGCCTCCAGAGAGGAGGGGGAGGAGGAGGAGGAGGAGGAGGAGGAGGAGGAGGAGGAGGAGGAGGAGGAGGAGGAGGAGGAGGAGGAGGAGGAGGAGGAGGAGGAGGAGGAGGAGGAGGAGGAGGAGGAGGAGGAGCAGGAGGACAAGTGGAAACCCAAGAGTCATCAACGATGTTGGAAGAAACCCTCCCTCCAAGCTCCCTCTGCATAGGCCCTTACAACGGTTCATTTTCACTGGGGAAACTGCCCCGTTGGAAGACAACCGTTTGAAGACCCTGAAGCATGCCAACGCATTGCTCGCGGGATTCCACCGCCACGGATCAACTTGACTGTTGCGTCTTGAAGATGTTGAATCGCGCCAGAACATCATTCCTGGGATTTCAACACCGCGAATCGGCGTAACTGTTGCACCCTCATAATCCCGAATCCTTCCCAAACAACATGTCTGTTTTGTTGATCATGGAAGTCCGCGAAGCTCTTTCAAATTGTTAAAACCGATGTGCGCGGCTTGAAAACCACCCGCCCTAAATCCGTGAATATCTTCCAGATTTTTATTTACCAGAACAACTATATATATATATATATATATATATATAATAAAAAAAAAAAAAAAAAAAAAAAAAAAAAAAAAAAAAAAAAAAAAAAAAAAAAAAAAAAAAAAAAAAAAAAAAAAAAAAAAAAAAAAAAAAAAACGAGTGTGCGCGGCGCTACGACAAGAGCCACATGTTGAAAACGACCCGCCCTCAATACACGAAATTCTTTCAAATCTCAAAAACGAATAGCGGCGCTAAGGCGAGAACCACATGTTGAAAACGACCCGCCCTAAATTCGTGAAACTCTGTCAAAAGCTAAACAAAAAATGGCGGCGATAAGGCGAGAGCCACATTTTGAAAACGACCCGCCCTCAATCCGTGAAACTCTTGCATGGTTTAGAAACGAATGTGCGCGGCGCTAAGGCGAGAGCCACATTGTGAAAACGACCCGCCCTCCATGTGTGAAACTGTTGTCATTGTTTAAGTTTCACGGTCAGAAATGGTGAGGAAATCTCAAGCGAAACGCCCGGCCCGCCCTAAAAACTGGCCTCGGGGTGCGACAGGGAGAAGATATTTATAAGGAATGGAGGAGAAGCAGGAGGAGGAGGAAGAGCAGGAGGAGGAGGAGGAGGAGGAGGCAAGGTAGGAGGCGGCAAGACAGGAGGAGGAGGAGGAGGAGGAGGAGGAGGAGGAGGGGATGAGAGCGAGGAGTGACTGCAACCCCACGGCCGCTGCCTCCCGCCCCGCCGACATCGAGGTCCCGAACCACACGCGAGGAGGGGACAGGAGCAGAAGAGTCGAAGGCAGAACCCATAGCCGCCGCGCCTGGGGGCAAGGTCAGGCGCTGGGACGCGGGCTCGAGGCCGAGAGCAGGCGACCCGTTGCCAGCGAGCACATCAAGAGGGCGGAAGGGCGACCCAGCACCAGCTGAGCGCGCCCCCGGACGGCCCGAAGCGGCCTGCTGCGCCATCGGCTGAGCACCTGGGACGCGGGCGCACGCGCCAGCCTGGCCTGCAGAGGCGGAAGCAAAAGAAGGCGGAGACGGACGCGGAGCCACCCAAGCCTCGGCGGAAGAACGTGCCAGAGCAGCTGGAAGAGAGAGAGAGAGAGAGACTGGAAAAAATCCAAAGTTGATGACACCATGGCGGGGCAAGGTTGGCCGAGGCTGGAGAGAGCCCGAAACAAACCGGGTGCGGTGGCCAGAGCTGGAATAGCCTCAAGGAGGCGGGCAGGGGCTGCAAAGAGTGGAGGAATTTGCCCCGCCCGCTTGCCCAGAGCTCTTGGTGGCGATGGCTGCTGACCGTGCCCGCAGTGAGGCCTGGGCGCCCCAGGATTAGGCACATCGCCCCCCCCCCCCTCCACCTCCTCCTCCTTCTCCTCCTCCTCCTCATCATCATCATCAACATCAGCAGCATCATCATCATCATCATCATCAGCATCATCATCATCATCATCATCATCATCATCATCATCATCATCATCATCCTCATCCTCATCCTCATCCTCATCCTCATCCTCCTCCTCCTCCTCCTCCTCATCCTCCTCCTCCTCCTCCTCCTCCTCCTCCTCCTCCTCCTCCTCATCATCATCATCATCATCATCATCATCATCATCATCATCATCATCATCATCATCCACCATCTCCTCCTCCTCCTCCTCCACCACCTCCTCCTCCTCCTCTTCCTGCTCCTGCTCCTGCTCCTGCTCCTGCTCCTGCTCCTCCTCCTCCGCCTCCTCCTCCTCCTCCACCTCCACCTCTACGGGGTACCAGGAACCTGGAAGCAAACATGGCTGGACGCACACGTGAAGCATCCGAAGGCCATTCGCTGGGTGCACGTGCGCAGTGTCTGCGCCCCTGGCCATGCATGGGCCGAGCACTGGGAAGACGTGTGGCCACATGTATATCCAGCTCTCGCCCAGACCGGCCGCGACATGTTTATCCAGCTTCATGGTAGGTCAGGGCCGCAGTCCAAGGTCGGCGACTCTGTACAATGGCAGGTCCTCTGTGCATGATGAAACGCGCGCCTCAGAGGGCTCCGACCCAGGACAGGCGCGACCTTGCCTGTTCCTCCTGGCGCGCGTGCATTGCCACCTCAGCCCGGGCGGACAATTGCGTGGCGCAGCATGCCTGGGCGTTCCTTATGCTCCTCGTTTGCTAGATCGCGTGAATTGCATAGGTCTAATACAGATACCATCAGCTGCTCGTTCAGACGATGCGTTTAGCTGTTGCGGACCTTCTCCTTCACCCAGTGCTCCTCCTCCTCCTCCTCCTCCTGGCCGCGACGTGGCGGCCAGCATATCCTGTCAGATCCATTCTGTCACCCCCCATCCACCCCCTTCTTCTTGCTCCCCCGCCCCCCCGCAGCTCCTCCCCGTCCCCCCGCTGCTCCTCCCCCTCCCCGTCTCCACCCCCACCCCCCTATACCTCCTCCTCCTCCACCTCCACCTCCTCTTATGAATGGTATTAATATTATTATGAATATTATCATTGTTGTTACTAACAATCATAATCAGAAGAAGAATTACCCCAGTGCGACCCTACCTGGGAGTTGGAGCCCCTAAGAAAGCAGCACTAGTAGTAACGGTAAACGCCGTCCTCCTCCTTCTCCTCATCGTAGTTGCCTTTGCGTTTGCTTGTGTTTGCTTTTGCTTGGTTTTGTTTTGCTTTGCCTTCGCACACACACACGCGTGTTTCTGCAATCGCTCACCGGGTGGGCTCTCTGATCGTACTGTTGCACATTGCGTTTGCTTTTGCTGTTGCTTTGCTTTGCTTTGCTTTGCTTGTGCTTTGCTTTGCTGTTGCTGCTGTTGCTGTGCCTTTGCGTTGCTGCTATGCTATGCTATGCTATGCTATGCTATGATATGATATGCTATGCTATGCTGTGCTATGCTATGCTGCAATATGCTATGCTATGCTATGCTATGCTATGCTATGCTATGCTGCGCTATGCTATGCTACGCTAGGCTGCGCTATGTTATGGTAGGCTATGGTATGCTATGCTATGCTGCGCTATGCTATGCTATGCTGTGCTATGCTGCGTTATGGTATGCTGTGCTATGCTATGCTGCGCTATGCTATGCTATGCTGGGCTATGCTATGATATGCTTTGCTACGCTAAGCTAAGCTAAGCCAAGCTAAGCTAAGCTGCAGCTACGCGAAGCTAAGACGAAATTAAGCTAAGTTAAGCTAGGCTAAGCTAAGATGAGATAAGCAAAGCTAAGCTAAGGGGGCGCAACTGGGGGAGCCGCGGGGCGGATGCCGGGGAAACCGCCCGGGGCGCTTTCCACTGCCCGGCCCCTTTAAGCTAAGAGAGTAAGAACCCTCTAGGCAGAGCCTAGGTAGGGAAGAAGAAGAATAGAATTATCAGTACGATTGTATTATCCGTACCATTATGAGCAGTGTGATTGTTCTTGTTATTCGTATTAGTACTATTCTCCTTCTTGTTTAATAGTATGGTTATTATTATTAGTTTTGTCAGTACTCGTATAATGATTATCACTAGTAGTAGTACTAGTACTAGTACTAGTACTAGTACTAGTAGTAGTAGTAGTAGTAGTAGTAGTAGTAGTAGTAGTAGTAGTAGTAGTAGTAGTAGTAGTAGTAGTAGTAGTAGTAGTAGTAGTAGTAGTAGTAGTAGCAGTAGTAGTAGTAGTAGTAGTAGTAGTAGCAGTAGCAGTAGTAGTAGTAGCAGTAGCAGTAGTAGTAGTAGTAGTAGTAGTAGTAGTAGTAGTAGTAGTAGTAGTAGTAGTAGTAGTAGTAGTAGTAGTAGTAGTAGTAGTAGTAGTAGTAGTAGTAGTAGTAGTAGTAGTAGTAGTAGTAGTAGTAGTGGTGGTAGGTAGTAGTAGTAGTAATAGTAACGCTATTGTTAGTGATAGTAGTATTATTGTGATTCGCATTAGCATTACTACTAGTAAAACTTGCTTATAAGTATTCTTAATAGTCGTATTAATAGTATTCGTATGATCATTATTATTGCTACTATTATTCGTCTTGTTCGTAAGATTATTCGTCGTACTACCATTACTCTGATTAGTAATATTACTGTTCTTCTTACTATTAGTGTCCTCATTTTCCTTATAAGTATTATTGTTGTTATTACAATTATTCCTCCTCCTCATCATCCTCCTCCTCCTCCTCCTCCTGGCCCGTCCGCATCGGGCCCCACGACCAGCCCACGCCCACTGCCGCGCCCCGCCCGCGGCACTCCTGAGGAGGCCGAGCAGGCTGTGGAACTCGCCGCGCGCTCCCTTCAGCGAGGCCACCTGCTGGCGCGAGAGAGCCGTTGCTGGCCTCCGCTCTGAGATGAAGCCTGGACCGGGAGAAAATCGGACCCAGACAAATCGGGAACATCTCAGAGCCAGCGGTCATGATGGGTCGGGCGCCGCGGCCGTTCCACAGCGTTCCAGAGCGCCCCTAAACCGTGCTGGAGCGCTCTGGAACGATTCATCCTGGTCCTGGGCACTCCCGACACTGTACCTCGTGCACTGGCCTCCGCTGTCGCACTCTGCCCTTGGTCTGGCACGGTAGCCTGACGCAGCTCGTATCACGCCCGCAATGGGCATCCCGCGAGCTGCCGCCTGACATCCCTGACCCTCAGTGGGCCCCAGAGACGGTAGGGTCGTTGTTTTTGCCATTTTCGAAAAATCGCCTCTGCAACATGAAATTAAGACCAAAAAGCAGAAACTCCCCGCCAAAAAAAGCCTGGCGAAGAACCCAACCCTGTCTAAAGAAACGGCGACTACGAAGGGGACCGCTCAATCCACAAGTACGCGTTGAACGATCTGCAATATCCCAGACAACTTCGCCAAATGCGGCCACCACGCTCACACATCGAATCGCAAATGGGAAGACGACGACGAATGCGACGCGGATCAGAACGGGGCCAGTGAGAGGAGGAAACAGACTTGGACGGACAATTAGTGCAAATAGCAGCGCCGCACGCTACCTCACGCGCGATACAATGGAACAGGCGCGGTGCACTGACTGCTGCAGATGATCGAGCGTCAAACGGGCGGGTGGCCGCTGAGGAAGAAACGGGAAATTGGCGACGGACGGCACCGCGCGCTACGTGACGCCCCATCGCCCCGCACTCTGCGATGTAATAGCACCCCGCGCTATATGATGGGACAGCGCCGCGCGCTACGCGGGCGTTCGCCGCGCAATTTCAACAAGGCGTAAATATGATCCACACGCCTTCTAACTTCTCCGGCCAGAAATATCCACGACAGCTAGCAAACGCGCCCCTGCGCTGGGGGCCAGGACGGGAAGGGCCTGCACATGGGCGAAAATATCCTGCGACGCGCGAGGAGCCCATGGTGGACGCCATGCGAGCGGCGGCGCCATGCGAGCACGCCCATCAAGGCCATAGACACAACAAGTCCCTACGTGAAGGCGCGTGCCGAGATGGGCGGGGGGACGCCATTGGAGCACGCCCACTGGGGCAGGGCACCCGCGCCAGCACACCCCTCACACGTTTCGTGGCCCCCAGCAGTGCTCCATCGAAAGCGGTCGGCACCCACAGCCTGGCACTCACGACGCAGCGGGTGCTTCGCCCCAGCTGCTGTCCGTCCTGGGCCCCGGGCTGCCTGCAGAGGCAGGGCGTGGGTCCGAGCCCGACAGCCCTGGAGCGGGCCCCGGGTAAGGGGCCGGCGAGGCTCGGCGGCGCCCTCTGAAGCGGGCGGGTCGGCTGCGCACTTGTTTTGTCTGCGGGGCGAGAGCGAATCTCTTCCGGTTAAAAGCTAGGCGGGCTACGCACAGCTCTAATTGGGGAGACAGAGCACAGGCGGGCGGGGCCTCAGGCGGCCGGAGGGCGGGCCGGGGTGCAGGCGGTGCCGAGGAGCTTGCACAGGTCGGCTGCGCACACGCAGCCGTGGCCCCAAGGCAAGAGGGACCCCTGGCGCCGCGGGCTTGAAGGGGCCGCGGGGGGGAGCCGAAGCCAAGCGCGCACGCCAATGTTGGGGGGGGGCCACGGTGGACCCGCGCCCAGAGGCCACTCGGGCCGAGGGTCGCTCTCACGCGCGGCCGAGCAGGAGGCTCCTGAGAAGGGCTCCAACTCGGCGGCCCCTGGAAACGACAGGGCAGCGTTTTACCGTTTTCTTGTTGTTCCACGGGTTTACCATTTCTGGCCCCTTTTTGCTGGCGTTTCCGGCCCCGTTGGTTTAGCGTTCCCGTGTCCCCTGGTGAGAGCCTGGTCCAGATCACCGTTTTTAAATCAGATCTGAGCCGTTTTCGAACTGGTTCGAACATTCTTCGATCCGTGGACTGCCCAGACTGTATCGGTGGTGAACCTCGTCTCACCGTTTCGATGGACGGTTTGCTCGGCCGTCTTCATCATCAATGAGATGTTTTTCCTGAAAACGGGAAACAAACAAAAACCGTAAAGATGAACCCGGTGCGAACCCAATTAGGGAATTTCCTTTTGAAAATGAACCCTTGGCACCCGGGGCACCCGGGGAACCCGAAGAACCCGGGGAACCCGGGGAACCCAGGAAACGGGCAACGTAAGAATACGAGGCACCGAGGGAGGGAAACCCGAGGAACCCGGGGAACCCAAGGAACCTCCAGGAGCAACGGGCGACGTAAGAATACGAGGCACCAACCTTTCAGAACCAAGTGAGAACCCCTTAGGCAAGCCTAATCGGGGAAAAAATGGCCCTGTCCTTTCCAGGGCCCGAGGAGGAGGAGGAGGAGGAGGAGGAGGAGGAGGAAGAGGAGGAGGAGGAGGACGACGACGACGAGGGAAAGCCCATCCGACCCGATCTCGGACGGCCTCCCCCCTCGCGCCGCCATTGGCCAAAATCCTCTCGAGGTCGGTCCCCTGGCCCCTCTCAGAGCCCCTTCTGGCTACCGTCGAGCCTATAGGACAGAAGAGCATCCCTCGAGATCACGAGGCCCTCCGCCGGCCGAAACGCACAGAACATCCCTGGATACCCTCCCCCCAGGGTGCGCAAGAGCATCCAGCAAGCACGAAGAACATCAGGGCACCCTCCCCGAACTGACCTCCATCTGATGCCTCGCAGCCGACGGCAGCCTTCCGAGCTGCGCCCTGCCGCGGGCACCACGGGCCAGCCAGAGGGCCGAGCTTGGCAGGATCCTCGGCCCGGCCCCCCTCTCGTCCGACGACCACGGCGACCACGAGAGTCGCCCATCCTGAAGGGGCCCTGGGACACACAAATAAATACACACAAATAAAAGGATTCCCCATATTTCCCCATATTTTCTGGGTTTCTGTTTTCCCCCCCATTCTGTTTTCCCCCCCACTGCCCATAGTTTCCCATCTTTTCTGGGGGATCGACGATCAATGGTGTCTGTGTATGTCTTCCCTCCTGCTCTCCCCCAGGCTGGCACGATCCCTGCTCGCCTCGAGGCCGCGCTGCTCCGGGGCCTCGGCCGGCCTCGGCCCGCCGAGGCCCCGGCCGGCCGCACGGGAACTCCTCCCAGGGCCCCCGCGCGGCTCCCGAGGGGCCCTGGCCGGCCGGGGGCGAGCGGAGGGCTCTGGCCAGCCCCCGCCGGTGCCGGCGGCCCGTGGCGTGCGCGCCGGTCGCAGCGCTCCACGGCTCCGCGGGGCATCAGCTCACACATTTGAAGGGTCCCTGGGGCATACAAATAAATACACACAAAGAACAGGATTCCCCATATTTTCCCATATTTTCTGGGTTTTTGTCTTCCCCCCCACTGCCCATGTGTTCCCATATTTTCCTGGAAGTCGACGAGTAATTGTGTCTGTGTGTTGATTCCCCTCCTGATTATACATTGGAGAGCAGAAAAATCCATCCCCATTAATGAGCACCCCGGCAAGCGCGAGGCCGTTTGGCAAGCGCACCCGTGGAAGGAACCGAACAGGGCAGGGCCGCTTCGTGAACGCCCACGGCTGCTTCGTGAACGCGAACTGTCGGGGCCGGCGTGGTTTTTTTCCACCCTCGGATACATGCCCTCCCGGCGGCCGCCTGCGAGGCGAGCCGCATGAAGTCGGTGCGGATGCCCTCGAGGCCGTCCTGGCGGCGGGCCGCGGGCCGAGGGGCGGGGAGGGCCGAGGTGCCGCGGCAGCGGAGGGCCTCCTGAGGGGGTCTCGGGGGCCCCGCTTTGGGGGCCCTTGGAGGCCATGGTGAGGCGACGTTGGACACCTCGTAGGCCGCGTCGGACGCTCTGGAGGCAGGAAAGGCGGTGGGTGCCCGGGGGCGGGGGAGCTGATGGTACTAGTGTAACCATGTCTACACGATACAGCAGCTACGCTAGATTCACTACAGCTCACAATGGCTCAGCAACGTTGGGACAACATTCCCCCCCTCCCATTGGTCACCATGGTACTTAGTGGAATGCAATTTGATGTAGTACAATCAGCGATGGGGGTAGTGATCCCACGCCGTTTCCGATGGATAAGCGCATGCCTGTTCCCCCAATTTCCCATGCACCCATCGGGACCAACGATCGCCCCAAGACGGCTCCAAGTGGCCGCGGAGCGTTGGAGGGATACCCACGGAAAGGCAAAAATCAGTGTGGCAGCAGGACCAGCAGCTGATGCTTTGGGACTTGAGCCAACGTGTAGAACGACAGTGCGAAACATCACTCAACACGACGTTTCTGAGCGTCACACCTGAAACGCAGGCGATGATGTCTACAGCGTAGAACGCACAGGCGAAACCTACGATACGAGAACAAGACGAACATCACACTGGTCAAGTTTTTAGCAGGCTGACACCCGTGCCTGCGCAAGAATAGAGCAGAAACTCCTGGAGACCACCGAGCAGCCGCCCCTGAAGCGCGCCGGGGGGGGGGGGGCAGGAGAGGCGCGTGGCGGCGGCATTGGCCCCTCGCGTTGCTCGGTCGGTCGGACCTCCCAGAGGTTCGACCGACCAATGGGCCGCGGAGGTTAGACCGACCGATGGGCCGCGAGGGGAGTCCGAGACGAACCGCATGCGTAGATCGCAACGAGCAGACGGCAAGAGCGACCGCCGCCGAGAGGAGCCCGCGCTCTCGGGCGCCGCCTGCAAGGCGCGAAGAGAGCGAACAGGCACGCCTGGGCGGCCCCGCGCCCAGCGTGCAGGGCAAAGCCCGCGTCACCCACACCGGGCCCAGGACGCTCGTGTCGGAAGAGCTCAGGACGTGCACCCTGAAGGCATCGCCCCTGGTAGCGCGGACATCCACAACATCGCCAAGGATGACGCGGAGGTCGTTGGCTGCCACCCTCCCGGCCTGTCCCATGGGCGTGCCGCGGGAGGACCTGGCAGGCCGGACAAACAGGAAGTAAAGCGCGAGCGCACAATAAGCGCGCCGCGGGGCCGAGCCGACCACGCCGACGGGCACAGAGAGCAGAGGGCAAGGCGCACGCACACGTCTTTTCATCCAGTGGCGAAATGGCGGGACTGTCGCGAAGCGCGAAGCTGGGACGCGCGGAGGCGAAGTTCCACCTGCAGTAGCACATGGGTGGACTGCCCTCCTCCTCTTCCTCCTCCTCCTCCTCCCCTCCTCATCCTCCTCCTCCTCCTCCTCCTCCTCCTCCTCCTCCTCCTCCTCCTCCTCCTCCTCCTCCTCCTCCTCCTCCTCCTCCTCCTCCTCCTCCTCCTCCTACTCTGGGTGGTCGCAGTCGCGTGCAGAACAGCGCCCAAAGCCGCGCGCACGCGGAAGAGGCCGTCGCGGCCATGCACAGTGTAGGAGGTGTACGAGCACCACCAGGCGCACTGGAGAACAGAGGCGACGTGCCGCATGAGCGTGCCATCTAACACGAGCCCACCGCACTGAACAAGGCAAAAAGCGGAGCCGATGCAGGCGAACGCACCCCGACACACACACACACACACACACACACACACAAACACACACACAGAAAAAACACACACACAAAACACACACACACACACATACATACACACACACACACGCGCGCGCGCACGCAGACACACACACACACGACACACACACACACAACACCACACATGCACACATGCACGCAACTCCGCACCGCACCCACACGCGCTACAACACACACACAACACACCACAACACACACACACACACACGTCACACACACACACACAAACACCACACCAACACACACACACACTACGCACACACACACACACACCACACCAACACACACACACACACACACACAAAACACACACACGACACTCACGCACGCACATGCACACACATCAACACACACACACACACACACTACACAGCACACAACGCACACACACACGACACATCACACTAAACACAAACATCACACACACACACAGACACACACACATCACACACACTCACGCACGCACGCACGCACGCAACGCACTGAAATCCGCGCACACACACCCACACAACACACCACACACACACACACGACACGCACACACGCAACGCACGCCAACTCCCTCACGCACCACACACACACACATCACTACACACACACACACACCCACACGCCCCCACGCACACACCACGCACACACACGCACACACATCACACACACCAGCACACACACAACACACCACACACACACGCACGCACACACGCATCGCACGCACACGCACTCACGCACGCACGCACGCACGCACGCACACACACACACTCACACACACACAACCACACACACGCACGCATGTACACACATAGCTACAGACATGTGTGCAGAATGAAAGAGACCCAGACCTCCGACGTCGTTACATTTTCCATGCAGGGTGCCTGGAGCTCTCGACCCCGTCCATGGGGCTTGATGCTGGGGCCTGAAGCGGCCCCCTAGACGCCGAAACTGGGAAATCGCGCCAGCAACAAGAGACGCGTAAGGCCCTGAACTGCGCAGGAGGTCTGGGGAGACAGACAGACAGGTCGAGACAGCCGGGCAGCGCGAGCGGCTTTCCGTCCAGCGCAGGCGGACCGCCCCGAAGCGGCGGGACCAGTCCAGACGACCGGCGGCCCCGCGCGAAGGGGGGGAGGGGCGAGGGCAAGCGGGGAAGGCTCTGCGTGTCCGCTTCCTGCCGGGGGGCACGCGTGGCCAGGTGCGCGTGCGGGACGTGCGGAGGCCGCGCGGACCGCACGCGCGTGCGGAAGGCAAGCGCGCCTGGCCATGGCAGGGTCGAGCGCTGGAAGGGCGGGAGACTACCAGGAAGATGAAAACTTGTTTTGTTTTGATCTGCGGGGCGAGAGCGAACCTCTTCCGCTGAAAGCTAGGCGGGCTACGCGCAGCTTTAATTAGGGAGACAGGGCACAGGAAGGCGGGGCCTCAGGCGGCCAGAGCGGGCGGGGCCGGGGTGCAGGCGGTGCCGGAGTGGAAGTGCAGGAGCAGGTACGCCGCGGACTGGTACCGGAAGGAACCTGGAAACACACATGGCTGGGTTCACACGGGGAGCATCCGGAAGCCACGCGCTGGATGCCGAGCGCTGGAAAGACAGCTGGCCATGTGTGTATCCAGCTCTCGCCCAGGCTGGCCGCGCGAT